ATGTATAGTCTCTTTCTGAGCCTGCCCAAGCAGGGCCCGTCTGGTTACTGAATGAGATACCATCATCTTTTTTGCTGTCTTCATCTTCTAGAGCTACAAATAACAAAGACTATAAGAATGAGGGATAGGCTACAAAACAAAGCGGGCAAAGGGGAGAAGATCTAGAGAAATAAAAGCTTCAAGGACATCTGTCTTCCTTTCCACAACTGCCTCAAGTATAAAGGGACCAAGACTCACAATCAACCCTTAAAGACAGGGATGTTGTGCTTTTCAAGAAAGATCCTTAATAGAGACTTCTCTAATTAAGAGTTTCTAATACACTAAAATGTTTCCTGATTTAACAAACAAAATAATGCATTAGAATAATTAGAGGAAAAAGAATCCAACTGTTCTGAAATACTTAAGAAACATCCATATGCACAAAAACCCATCTTCTGACTATATTTACATTCTCTGAAGACCCTATACCATTTATTGATTGAAACAGAGTCCCACTACATCACCCTCGGTAGAGTGCCACAGCATCACAGCTCACAGCAACCTCACACTCTTAGGCTTAAGCAATTCTCTTGCCTCAGCCTCCCAAGTAGCTGGGACTATAGGCACCTGCCACAACACCTGGCTATTTTTTGGTCACTATTGTTTGGCAGGCCCAGGCCAGGTTTGAACCTGCCAGCACCGGTTTATGTGGCTGGCGCCGTAGCCTCTGAGCTATGGGGGCCAAGCTAGATCCTATAGCATTTAGAAACTAATAAAACTATACTTTAAACAAAATACTTTAAAAAAAAATTTTAAACATTATTTAACAATCACCTACAGAAGTTTTCCCAAGCTTTAATCAGCATGCTTTTAATGTAATCATAATTGTCAAATTCTTCCCCCATGAAATCTGTTAGATGCTATTTCCTTTCAGCTTCCATTATTAGGCAATGGAAATAAGGGGCAGGAAAGTCCCCTCTTCACAAACAATCAAAACTAAAGCCAAAGGACTATATGACCCTAGAAATGGGCAGCTAAGTCACCAATATTACCTTCATCTTTCTCTAGTATTTCATCCTCATCTGGGAACTTAACATTCTTCTTTTTCTTCTTTTTATTGCCAAGCATAATGTCAAGGTCATCCTCTGGTTCAGCTGGTTCTTGAACATCACTTTCAATCTTAAGATCCTAAGAAATTGAGATGATTCTCAACATTTTTATATTAGGACTATCTTTTTAAAAAATGTTACCAGTTGATATCATTTTAGAGGGAGGAAAATATCAAATATTCAGAACTCAAGTTACAGATAAGACATGCCTTTCATAGATGGGTCAAACTGACTGAGACAGACTCTGCCATTTAAACTGTGAATTCCTTAAGACATCTCTGTGAGCTCTCCTCCCTTTTATTCCTTGTTTTCATTCTTCAGCCTTGGGATCTTATTACAATTATTATCCATGTTTTTAAATTAGGATAATGTCAGAAGCACCTGGGAAACTTCAATCTTTTGAGTGATTATCTTTTTTTTTTTTTGGAGACAAGAGTCTCACTTTCTTGACCCCTGACAGAGTGCCCTGTGGTTGCTCACAGCAACCTCTAACTCTTGGGCTCAAGCAATTCTCTTGCCTCAGCCTCCCAAATAGCTGGGAGTATAGGCGCCCACCACAAAGCCCAGCTGTTTTTAGAGACAGGGTTTTGCTCTAGCTGAGGCTGGTCTCCAACTGTGAGCTCAGGCAATCCGCCCACCTCAGCCTCCCAAAGTGCTGGGATTATAGGCGTGAGCCACTGAGCCTGGCGCCCAGCCTTTGATTGATAATCTCTAGTAGGAGTAGTGTTCAGGAGTATTTTAAAGAAGTTTCTAGAGACTGTGATACAGTCATGGGAGAGGTTTTTCCTGCTGACACCAAACATGGTGTTTTTCCACACTAATTCACCGGCCGAGCATCCTCTGGTTCGATTCAATTCAATTCTGAACCATACCACCTAGAGCAGCAGTTCTCAACCTGTGGGTTGAGACCCACAGGAACTGTATTAAAGGGACAAGGCATTAGGAAGGTTGAGAACCACTGATCTAGAGTCAGACTCCATAGGTATGCAGGGCTCAGTCCTACAAGACCAACCTCATTTCAGATTTCAGTCAGAAAAGTATAGGTTTCCCACATTGCACACACTTCTGACTTGGCTAAAAATACCCGAGTTCCCACACCCCTACTCCAAGAGTCAGTAACTTGCTAAAATAAACATAGCAAAGCACTCACTATTGCCTGTTTATTATAAAGGATACAACCAAGGAACAGCCAAATGGAAGTGATGCAGGGGACAAAGTATGAAGGTGGGGGACTGAAAGGGTAAGGAAGGCAGGCATGCCACATGCCACCCTCCTAGCACCTTTATGTGTTCAATAACCTGGAAGCTCTCCAAACCCTGTTTAGGGGTCTCATTACACAGGTATGACTCATTAAATCATTAACCTCTTATGACTTGAGCCCAATTTCCAGACCTTCTTCCCAGTCTGAAGGTGGTTGATGGGTACTTAAAGTTTCAACTCTCTCATCAGGGCTTTCTGGTGACCAGCTCTCATCCTAAAACTATCTAGGGCAATGGTTCTCAGCCTTCCTAATGCTGTGACCCTTTAATACAGTTCCTCATGTTGTGGTGACCCCCAACCATAAAATTACCCTACTTCATAACTGTAATTTTGTTACTGTTATGAATCGTACTGTAAATATCTGATATGCAGGATGTATTTAAGTAACCCCTGTGAAAGGGTCATTCAACCCCCCAAAGGGGTCATGATCCACAGGTTGAGAAGCGCTGATCTAGGGATTCCTAATCACCAGCCATCTCATTAGCATAAAAAAGATACTCTTACTTTGAAGACTCCAAGGGTTTTAGGAGTTGTGTGCTAGGAACCAGAGACAAAGACCAAATATTTAGTTTTTATTATATCACAGCCTAGCACCAGACCATAGAATGGGTTTGGGGCATCACTCTTTAGATATGACATTATGAAAGAGGGAAAGGCAGAATCCATGGAGAATTAGGATCAAGTGCTAGAGACAAGGTAAAGGTTGACCCTAAAATTAGTTGCTACAGGATGTAAACAGGGCATAAAGCCTAGAAATGAGTCCTAAACACCTCCAAGGAGCAGAAAGGGCCATCTTAGTTTCTGGCCCTTTAATTTTTCCCTCTTCTCACCAGTTGATCTAACCTAAAGCATTACTCATCAATTAATAATTATCTTTTGTGTGCCTACAAAATGAACTGTGGCAATGGCTACAGTAATTTCAGAAATTTTGTCAGCAAAATAGTTGGATGGGTTGAGACTAAATGAAGCTCAGATTTGGAATCCCAAATCCAGCTGTGTAGTCTTGGTGTCACATTTAGCCATCAAGTACCAATTAGTCCACATATATTAGCTAGATACCACACAAACAGAAAACCAGATATTGACCTATTCTTGAAGTCAATAAACTAAAACTTAGAAATGCTGACTATAAAGTACCACACGTTAGCCAGCTTAAAGCCCTATACTATTATGTATTGTATTTTATTTCATAATAGCTGCTTCCAAACTGAGCCCAATAGAACAATAGGCAGAGTAGCAAAATGTGTTTTTTAAGGCTTTTCAAAAGCTCTATGAAGGGCTCAGCGCCTATAGCTCAAGTGGCCAAGGCGCCAGTCACAGACCTAAGGTGGCCAGTTTGAATCCAGCCCAGGCCCGCCAAACAACACTGACGGCTGCAACCAAAAAAAATAGCCGGGCGTTGTGGTGGGTGCCTGTGGTCCCAGCTACTTGGTAGGCTGAGGCAGGAGACTCACTTGAGCCCAGGAGTTGGGAGGTTGCTGTGAGCTGTGATGCCACAGCACTCTACCCATGGGGACAGCTTGAGGCTCTGTCTCAAAAAAAAAAAAACTCAATGAAGGTCTGAAAATTCAAGTGGAAGAGGAAACCAAGACCTCAAAAACACTTTAGCTTCAAGCTTAACATCCGTGTCTTTCCTGATTACCAGGATAGTTGTAACATCCTCTTTTGTTATTTTCTCAATGGCAGAGAAAAAAGTTTATAAGCATTTAACTTACTACGAGTAGAGCTTATCTGTGACATAAGCTACTGGAAGAATCAATCAACAAACTCTTGTTAACTAAGGCTTTCTGTGGCACATCACTATGTGTCACCTTGTTACCTGGAATAAATCCCATTTGTTCAGTATAGTATGAGCATTTCTTTTTCTCAATTTCTCTATAATAGCAGGAAAAGAAGAGGATCCCCAAACAGAGAATAAAATAAATCCAAGTATTACTCTAAAAGAATTCTAAATTATCCCTGAACTAAAATTATCTTTGAAAACAGGAAAAATACCTTCTTCATTTTCAAGCCTTCACACAAGGCTTGAATTACTGTAATCACTAATACATATTTATTGAGTTGAATTAACTAAGTCATCAAAATTGATGACACTGTCTTCAAAATTCAATGATATACATTTCTGGCTATATGTAGGAGAGTTTGAACAAATAATTACTTATCAAAGGAAAATTTTGGTAGAGGGGACACTTGGGGTACATGTTCTTACTGTTAAAGAATAAACTTTCAGCTCCTTCCTCTTTCATCCACCTTCCTATTCATCTACTTGCTCACCTATTTACCTACTCCTTATTTTGAGATATTGAGATTTCTGTATTAGAAATCAATCCATTAGTAAGACTAGCAGAGGGTCTTAAGTCCCTATAGTATCAGACAACTCCAGGCCTAAATGCTCTGGTTTGCCTACAGGCCACTTTGTCATCAGCTAACAAACCACCACAGGCTGGATTTATTATTTGCTGCTTGGAGGTACACATAAAAATGTGTGTAAATTTAACATGTTACCAAAAGTTTAACAGAAGAAACCACAGGACTATTTCCTCCACAGGACTTCTCAAAGAAGTATCTCTTCTCACACAACAATCTCAGTATGGTTAAGGACAGGTTCATTTTGTGATCATCTTATGACACACATATAAATATTTAAGGCTTAAATGTATACTCCTTGAACCATAATACTACCCTTTAAGATACCTAGTCAGATATACGCCTAAGAAAATAACCTGAACAGTGGCAATTAAGTGCTACTAACAAAAGCAAAGCTAGTAAGAGATGAAACAAAGGGGGAGAAATATCAGCTGTAAGCAACCTTTCAAGAAGTCAAATTTTTACCTTTAATAAGAAAGCAATACTACCTTTACACCTTCTTCAGCTTCATCAATATCAAATATCTTTTTTGTTTTTTTCTTCTTTTTCTTTTGATTAAAGAAGTTCAAGTCATCTAGATCATCAGAAGCATCTGAAAAGATTGAGGTATAATTATTAATAACAACTAAAAGGGAAAACATCAAATTTTGAATTATGCCAACATAGTTCAGTTATAAATTAATCAAAGGCACCAGAAAAGAAACACGGGATATTAATCAGTAGTACATTTGTCCCTCCACAATCACAAAAATTATGGTTCTAAAAAAAAAAAAAACAAAACAGTATTAGATCAACTCAAAGCTTTGGGAAAAATTTCGTTAGGGGACCATATTGAGAATATTCATTCAGTAACCTGACCGTTTATCATTCCTCAGGTTCCCAAGACAAAGTCAGAGCTCCAACACAATTTCTAAGGCTCTCCAGTCTTATTTCCCTACTTTTGTTACTAGTCTTGACCCCTTCACTCCCCACACCTCAATCCCTGGCTCTAGTTCCTACTACACAGTGTGTGTGGTCTCTCACCTCCAAGCCTTCCCATGAGCCCTCCCACACAGCTGTTACCTCCATCACATAGGCTCTTGGTTAGAAGTTCCCTAACTTAGAAGTGTGCTCTAAGTCTATTCTTCTTTCCACTCGTTTCTGGGTCAAGTGTCCTAAGTGTGCTTACTTACCTTCTGTTTACTCCAACTGAGGTACCTATTACCAACTTGCTTATCTATATCTCCCTGCTAGACACTAAGGGGCTAAGCCTTGCTCACCTAAACTCTAGTACCTATGTTGACATTTTATTAAACCAATCTATCATCAAAAGGCCTTAAAAATTATTTCATATTTATTAAAATAAGACTGCACAGTAAATACAAGTATCAATAAATTTTATCTACTATTAATGAGTAATGTTCAGTAAGCTTTCCATTTGCTCTGCTATATTATAAACTAGGAATACTTCAGGATCCCTCTGCTACAAAGTTTTGCAAAGAGCTATGTATGGGCTCAGTGCCCAGACCTCAGTGAGTAGGGTGCTAGCCACATACACTGAAGCTGGTGGGTTCAAGCCCAGCCTGGGCCTGTCAAACAACAATGACAACTGCAACCAAAAAACAGCTGGGTATTGTGGTGGGCACCTGTAGTCCCAGCTATTTGGGAGGCTGAGGCAAGAGAATCGCTTAAGCCCAAGAATTTGAGGTTGCTGTGAGCTACAACGTCACAGCACTCTACCGGGTGACATAGTAAGACTCTGTCTAAAAAAAAAAAAAGCAGCTATGTATGAATTCATTGTCTTACTACCACAAGAATGATTACTTCCCATGTTTGTTTCCAGCATGTACAAGACACTTAGCACAAGGTAGTCAATGAATGTCAGTTTTTGCTATCTAAACAGTCTTATAATAAATAGATGCAAATAATATTTATAGAATTATTTCTAATAGTCAAAATGTATCTATAGCTCGTATGTAACATCAAATACTTTAGACTATAATTGGTCCTATTTCTTTCTGCCTACACTCAAACACAATTACTTTTAAAATTAGAAAAGGGATCTGACAAGTTAGACTGGAAAATCCACTCTGGAAGGACAAGGTTTCATACCTTTACACCTTATGAATTCAGTGCAACAAGCCTATCAGAAATCTGGAAACGTTCAGTGCTCATAGACTACTGAGATAGCCTTGACTTTACCAGAACAGCCTGCATATGCAAAATGCAAAACACTGATGTAACTAGGTAGGGTTCCTAGAACAATAGGGACTCTCAAATCAATCACTCACCTTTTTTCCTACTGTCCTCCTCATCAGCTTCCATATCTTTGTCCTCAGTCAGCTCTGGCTCCACTTCTTTTGTTTCTGAGGGCTGGGTTTCCTCTGTTTGGGCATCTCCTTCCTCATCTAACATAAAGGGCTTCTTCTTCTTCTTTTTCTTCTTGCTCATAGTAGGATCAAAAATCATCTGATTTTTATTTAAAAGATAATAAAAAAGAAAAAGAGACAAAGTGATTGTTTTAATGATACTCACATTCCCTATGCTATGTGGATACATTAAAATATCAAAAGGATTTTACCAAAAAATAAAATAAACTGTCCATCCAAGCTTCCTTATACCATTAAACATGGGTGGGGAGTCTGATAACATGTACACATCTTTAAATTTGTAAAGTACAACAAAATAGAGCAACTTCACTTTAAGTTTCATGAACAAATGAAATCATGGACATTATGAGTAACAAAATTTAGGAAAGGGTGCTTAGCAGTAACTTCTGCTATGCTCCTCACTTTATAGAAGAGAAAAATCAATGTCTAAGCAGGTTACAAATTTTTTTTCTTGGTCAAGACAAGAGTCCTACCTATGCCCTGAGCAGAGTGCAAAGGTGCCGTAGCTCACTGAAACCTCAGACTCAGGCTGTGGGCATCCCGCTGCCTTTGCCTCTGAAGCCGCTGGGATTACAGGTACTCGATACAGTGGCCGGCTGGGTTTTTCAATTTTTTTCATGAGTTGGGGTCTTACTCTTGCTCAGACAAGCCTCAAACTCCTGAGGTCAAGCAATCTTCCCACCTCAGCCTCCCACAGTGCTGGGATTACAGGTGTGAGCCACTGAGCCTGGCAGGTTATGAATGTTTTATTCAAGTTTAGTAGCCTGGGGTTGATATACCAGGATCTGATAAAAAAGAATTTAAAAAAAAAAGTCAAATAGAACTAGATTCAAATCCCAAGTATTTTTTTTCCTGAGCCCCATACCAATACTTGTTCTACCATGCTTAATTAAATTTAGGATTCTGCCCAACGATCTGCTGTGGACAGTATAATGAAATGTTTAAAAACATAAGTCTTAACAGCTCATGCCTATAATTATGCCCAGTGCTTTTGGGTGGGGGGGCCTAATGTAGGAGGAGCGCTAGGAGTTCAAGACCAGCCTAGGAAACACAGTAAAACCCTATCTCTATAAAAAAATTTAAAAATTAGCTGGATGTGGTGGCACACACTTATAGACCGAGCTATTTGGGAGGCTGAACTGGAACAGAACTTGAGCTCAGGAGTTCAAGGTCATAGTGAGCTACTATCATGCCACTATACTTCACTGTGAGCCACAGAGCAAGACCCTGTCTCTTTAATTAGGAAAAAGAGGAGAGAAGACTAGTAAGAAGAAAGACAAGCACAGGTCTGGAGCCTAACTGATTGGATCTGGATTCAAATTCTAACTCAGTCTCATCTTTGTATTATTCCACGCCTCATCTATAAAATAGAGATAAGTATAGGGGAAGTAGTTACATTATAAAAAGAAAGACAGAGGTAAGTGGTAAGTAGCAGAACTAAAACCAAAACACACAAGGTTACAGGAGGATTAAATGAGTAAATAAATATAAAACCCTTGGCACAGTGCCTGGGACTTAACTATTCAATAAATACTAGCAATTCTCATTTATATATAAAATGCTTCAGAACGCATGATATATCTTGATCCCTATCACTGAAATTTCAACTTATGTGATCTAATTTCCTAGACATATCATGAAACTCAAAAAACTCTCAAAAGTTATTCTAATTAACTTAATTAATTTTTTTTATGTCTCAAGTATATTAAGGAAACTAAGCTACAGCCTGTAATGAGGTAGGGTAGTTATGGTCCTCAGCCAATATAAAGAAGCAAAGTACCAGCAAAACTTTAAGGCAAAAATTTTAATACAGCCTCACTTCAAAGTTATTCTCTTCTCCCTTAACAAGGATCCAATTGTATAAATAATTCTGAAATGCAGTCAATCTGAAGAACATACCTGGCAAGCTTAAATAAGTGTTCATTCCAAGACAGAAGAGCAAAGAGAAAGGGGTCTCTTACTGCTGATGTACCACTGGGGTTTGGGTCACCCTACATATTGTACAGGGCATTAGCTACAATTCATCATCATTCTTGAAATAGGGAGACTAGGCAAAAGAACAGACAGCACACCAGACACTATAAATTTGCTTCTGGAACGGGTTACAATTCATTTGTTGTATTTTTTCAAGCATCAAGTTCCATGCACTATTGACTGCATTTCAACTATTATTTAGCAAAACAGACCAGAGATGGGTGACCCTTAATTCAAAGGACAGCCTCACAAGGGCCTTTTTTTTTGGAGACAGAGTCTCAAGCTGTCACCCTGGGTAGAGTGCCATGGCATCACAGCTCACAGCAACCTCAAACTCTTGGGTTTAAGTGATTCTCTTGCCTCAGTCTCCCAAGTAGCTGGAACTACAGGTGCACGCCACAATGCCCGGCTATTTTTTTGTTGTAGTTGTCATTTTTGTTTAGCAGGCCCAGGCCGGGTTTGAACCCGCCAGCCTCAGCGTATGTGGCCATCACCCTAAACACGGAGCTATGGGTGCCACCAACAATGGGCTTCTTATCCCTCAAAAAACATTCTTATTTAGCTCTACAGGTAAACAGTTTGGTTGTAGAGGATAATAAACATGCAGTAATCATAATTATGAAACAATTATTATCTGTTTACTTAACCTATACTCATGCCTCAATTTCATTCATACCACCCTGTAAAGTAGTTTACAAATAAGGAAACGAGGGATCCCAAAACAGCACCTAAAGAAGACCTTCTGAAAGAACAAGGCCATGTCAATCTTGACTAAAATCATGGCTTCTTATGACTTTCATTATCTGACTTCTAAATTATCAGTTGACTACATCCCAGTATTTTTTTTTTTTTTTTTTTTTTTAGACAGAGCCTCAAGCTGTCCCCCTGGGTAGAGTGCCAGGGCATCGCAGCTCACAGCAACCTCTAACTCCTAGGCTCAAACGGCTCTCCGACCTCCACCTCCCAAGTAGCTGGGACTACAGGTGTCTGCCACAACATTCAGCTATTTTTTGGTTGCAGCCATCTTAGTCTGGATTCGAACCCGCCAGCTCAGGTGCACGTGGCTGGCGCCCTAGCTGCCTGAGCCACAGGCACCAAGCCCATCCCAGTTTTTTAAATGAGATTAGTTTGGACTTGAGAAGCAAGTAGTTGCTGACAATGCACTTATAGAAAATATAGAATCACTAGAGCTATTTTTAAGTTCACAACAAAGCCTTCAAAAGCATAAAGTTTTGGCTTGGTGCCTGTAGCTCAAGCAGCTAGGGTGCCAGCCACATACACCAGACCTGGTGGGTTCAAATCCAGCCTGGGCCTGCCAAACAACAATGACAACTATAACCAAAAAAATGGGCAGGCATTGTAGCAGGTGCCTGTGGTCCCAGCTACTTGAGAGGCTGAGGCAAGAGAATCGCTTGAGCCCTAGAGTTTGAGGTTCCTGTGAGCTGTGATGTTATGGCACTCTAACCAGGGAGACAGCTTGAGACTCTGACTAAAAAAAAAAAA